GCCCTTGCTGGTCTGGGCTAAGTAATATGCTCGGGTTTGCTCGCCAGAGCTTTTGTTCCCTGCAAGCTTTCCGCACAGCTTTGGAGGATGAGAGTGAAAATGGCAGCCTCCCAATCTCCGCCCTGGAGGAGCTGAGAACTCGGGGCCCCACTCCCCAGTGAGCCCCCAGAGAAAAGCAGTCAATCACTCCCATCTCCCCGGTCTCCGGCCGCACTCCGTGCTCACCCGGCCTGTGACCGAGTGTTTCTATCTCTGGCACCTGACTAGGTGTGGAGTCTCCAAACCCAGCAGATCCCTGCAGTGCGCTCCCTCGCCACTCCTCCTGGGGGAGGAAGGTGAGTCTCCCCGGATCTGCCACTTGTTGGGTCCCTGCTGGAGGAGCAGTGGCCCGACTGGGCCACGGATCATGGTTTATGGCAGCCCCGAGCTGAGAGTCCGCGCCTCGGCTCCGTCTCTGCAGCCGGCTTCCCCGCTCTGATACCTGGGAGCTCTCCCGCACTCAGGCACCCCCGGTCTTTCCTGAGACCACACTGTCCCGCAAGGGTTCCACCCCCCGCTTAGCCACTGGAGCGACGTCCCTCAGCGGAGCCGACTTCTAAAAGTTCCGATTTTGTGCTCCACGGCTCTATCACTTGCCAGAAGTGGCCAACGGAGGCCCCTTCCCCCACCATCTATCCTCCCAAGTAGCGCCTCAGATTCACTTCTCCACACGTCCTACCTTCCAGAAAGTGGTCGCTTTTCTGTTCAGAGAGTTGTTGCTATTCTTTTCTTCGATCTCCTGTTGAGTTTGTAAGTGTTCAGAATGGTTTGATCCCTATCCAGCTGAATTCCTGGGACCAGACAAAATTTAGGTCTCCTATTCCTCTGCCATCTTGCTCCTCCCCTGAGCATTTTATTATTTTATAAATAATTATTTCAGTATGTTTCTGTGCAAAATAAGAACATGTAACCGGGCCATTATCACACCCTAAAAATTAATAATCATCAAATATGCAGTTAATGTTCAAATTTCCCAGTTGTCTCATGACTTTATACAACTGGTTTGTTGAACCTAAATCCAAACAAAACCATCACGTGCTTGATATGCCTCTTAAAGTCTTTTCATCTACAGGTTCTTTCTCTTACTTATTTGTTGCAGACACAGGGTCACTTGTCTTCAGTGTTTTGTGTATGCTGCACTCGTCCAATTGCATTTCTCTATGTCATTTGTCATGTTCCTTTGTCTCCTATATTTCCTACAAGCTTGGATTTAGATCTAGAGGCTTGATGAGATTTGGGTCTAAGTTTTTTTTTCTTTTTGGCAAGACTTCTGCATAGGTGGTTTTGTGTACTTCCTATTGCATCGTATCAGGAAACATAATATGTCTAGTTGTCTCTCTTTCTGTGATGTTAAAATTCATCAGTACATTACAGTGTTATCAAGTGAATGTATAAACTATAAATTTTCCTTTTGGCTTTTCACATAATGATTTTAGCAGCCCCTGATGATTGTTGCCTAAATCCATTGCGTCATTGGGATTGCACGATGGCAGTATTCTATCACTCCCTCTTCATGTATTAGTTGATATTCTCCTCTAAAGAAAGACTTTCCCTTATTAAATATTTGAATACTAAACTGAGATATAGCTCTTCAAGAAAGACAGGAGACATGTTTTATTCTTTCTCTTTGTTTTCTGGTTTTTAGAATAATAAATTTATTCTCCAGCATCCTACAAAAGTGATCAAAAGGTTGAGATTTTTTTCTTTTTAAGCATCTTATGAACTCATGATTTTACATTTGGCTGTTCTTCAATCCATCGTGGTTACTGTTTTTGATGCCCAAATTGTTCCATCTTTGACAAGGGGGACCTTCTTGAATTTAGCTTCTGTGAATTGGACTTTTAAAAACCAAAACAAAGGGGGACACCTGGATGGCCCAGGGGGTTAAGCAACCAGTTTTTGGTTTAGGCTCAGGTCATGATCTCGGAGTCCTGGGGTCAAGCCCTGCATCAGGCTCTGCACTCAGTGCTCAGCATGTCTGTTTGGGATTCTCTCTCTCCCTCTGCCCCTCCCCCTGCTCACACACACTCTTTCTCTCAAATAAATAAATAAATAAAATCCTAAAACATAACAAAACAAAGGGATTTTGTATTTTTATGAATGTTTTCTGAAAGTTATGAGAAAATATTGGGCCTCTTAAGGCTACATTTAGGTGAGGACAAAGACAAATCCCAGTGAGTGGGCTTGAGTGTATTATGAGAAAGAGAATAAAATTACTTATGATTGCACTTCATGAAGACTCGGCAAATGAAAGGCACCTATTACAACAGTTACTGATGATATTTTGCTTTCCCAGATGAGAACACTTTGTGAAGTCAGTAAATCTTTCAACCTGAACCAAATAAGTATAAATCTACACTTCTCAAAGGAGTTTACAGTCGATTTTGAAATATAGTACTATATTAGTTAACACTAGATTTGGTGTTAGTGACAGAACTTCAAAATAACAGAGGCTTAGAAAATGTAGTTTTATTTCTCTTTATATTAAAAAAGAAAAAGTTTATTCCACGCTGGCATGGAGGATCGAAGGTCATTAGGAAATACGGCTCTTTCTACCTTACCCTCTGTTGTCCTCAACGTGCAATTTTCACCTCATGATATAAAATAGCTCTTCCAGCTCCAACCATCATAGCCACATTCTAGTCAGCAGGAAGGAAGAAAAAGAGAAGGAAAAGAGTATGATGACTGCCATTAAGGACATCCCCTGGAAGTTGCGCTCATCACATCTGCTATGTTCTGTTGGCTAAAAAATAGTCTTGTGACTGAAAAATGTAGCTTTTATTCTAGAAGCCATATGCCCAGATAAGCTTTATGAAGTCAGTTACTCAGAAGGAAGGGGCGGGGGGAGTAGTTGTTCAGAGAAAACAGCATTCCTTGCGTCAAGCCCATATTCAGAGAGGAAAAAAAAATACATCTTTTAGCAGTGTATTTCCACACATGTCTTAAAACCTCAGAATGTGGGAGAGGGGATCATGTAAAGTATCCCCCTTCCCCACCCTCTTGAGTGTCTTGACTATGCTGGAGCGTCCATTATATGAAATGAAATTAAGCTGTAGTCTGATAATTTACATTCAAAACAGAAAATTTTAGATGGTTGCACTCCTATCCAGCAATAACGATTATTTTGTTTCATTATTTATCCCTGTCCAGTATACACTATCTCTGCTTCCACTGATATTTCTTGGTTATTCACTTCATGCCAGAAGTAAGGCTCACATATACTTCAACCATGTACTATTTCTAAGGCAAGATATGTGACTAGCACCTACCATTCAGAGTTTATGGGATTCAGTCCTCAAAAGGAGGCTACAAGAAGACTAAGGATCAGAGAGAGTAAGTAGCTTACTCAAAGAGAAGTAACTTAGTAAATAACAGAAATGGGATTCCACCACAAGTTTCTTTGCCTCAAAGCCCAAACATGCTTTGTTTTTTTATGCCATTCATACTTGTTTTCTGCTCTTCCACTAAGTTTTAGGATAGGAAAGTAATCATCTATTTGTAACTCCTATGGGCTTTCATTTAAACTTTAAAAAACAATAAACTCAATATATATCTCTTAAGTGTTTTATGGTCATTGTCTCTTAACTGTCTAACCCAGTTTGATGATTATTCATTCGACACATTTTTTTTAACATCCTTTATATGAACCAGGCATTGTGATTGTTGCTGAATATATAACAGTAAGCAAAACCACACATAGTCCTTACCATCGTGGAGCTTCTAGAATAGTGGGGAAGAGAAACACTAATGCAAAAATCACCCTCCAGATGTACAATGACAACTGCCATAATGGGTATCAAGAGAAAGGTATAAGGGATCATCTGCATATAATTGGCAAATTTGACTTAGGAAAGCCCGGAAGACTTCCCTGAGGAAGTGACATGCAGGCTAAGACTTGCAGTATAATTTAGAGTTAAAACAGGCAAAGCAGGGGAGAGAAGCTGTTTTCAGGCAAAACAAGCAGATGTTCGAAGTGGTGTAAGGGGCATGCATGGGGGCTGGAATGAGAATGGGTGAGCAAGCTGTGAAATGAGACTGGCAAGGAAACCAGAGAGCAACCCTGCAGTGCCTTGTATAGGGACACTGTTATCCCCTTTCACAGAGGAAAAACCTGAGGCTCAGAGCTCTTGAGTAATTTTCCTAGAGTCTCACAGCTAGTTAGGTGGTGGAGCCAGAATTCACACTGTGGTAGATAAATAATGGATCCCCTAAAAATGTTGATGCCCAATCCCTGGAACCTGTGAATGTGTTAGGTTACATGGCAAAGGGGAATTAAGGTAGAAGATGGAATTAAGGTTGCAATAAACTGACCTTAATATAGGGTGATTATTTTAGATTATCTCAGCAGGCCCAGGGTAAAAAGTAAGCTCAAGGGTCCTTAAATTTGGAAGAGGGAGACAGAAGAACTTACGGTTGTATAAGGTGAGAGAACTTGACCAGCTGTTGTTGGCTTTGAAGATGGAAGAAGGAAACCACGAGCCAAGGAATACAGGTGGTCCTAGAAGCTGAGAGGGCAAGGAAACAGATTCTACCCTAGGGATCCTCCAGAAAGGATCGCGGGGCTGCTGAAACCTGAATGGTAGCCCAATGAGACCCATTTGGGACTTCTGAACTACAGAATTATAAGATAATAAACTGTGAGCCATTGAATTTATGATAATTTGTTGCAGCAGCAAGAAGAAACTAACGCACAAACTATACCCATTGGCTCCAGAGCCTGTGTCCCCCTACCCCCGTGTGCAGCATGCCTTAACTGTCAGCTGGGCTAACCCAAGGACTGTAAAGATGAAACTCTAATGCTTCCCATCATTTTGAGTCTAAGAGTCTTCATATATCATTTCCAAACCATACAGCAAAGGGTATGTATAGATTTTACATACATCTCTTAGTTTTGTGAATTTCGAAAGGATGTGGTTATAGCCTTTGACATCAGAGGAGAAGCTCCACATTGTTGACTGAACACTGATCGAAAGATAACACTGAAGGCAAGAGGCCTTTTAACAGCTCTCTGAAAATCAACTGCCTCCCGAGCGTGTGCCTTGTGCCCGAGGCGGTCTCCACTGGCCGTGCCACGGGGTGATGCCCAAGGTGCATCACTTCCCAAGAATTGGATCATGAACAACTTCATCCTCCTGGAGGAACAGCTCATCAAGAAATCACAACAAAAAAGAAGAACTTCTCCCTCAAACTTCAAAGTCCGTTTCTTTGTTTTAACCAAAACCAGCCTGGCGTACTTTGAGAACCGTCATGGGGTATGTGAGCGCTTTGTCTTGTCTTTTTTTAAACAGTATTTTTTTTTTTTATTTAGGGTGGGCTGAATTATGAAGATATACGTGGAATAAAGTAAAGCCAAAGGAGGCACAGACATGCTTGTTAAAAAACAATAAGAGTCATCAGAAGAGAATGGGGAAAAGTCCAGAGGTGGGGTGGTTGTATAGGTGGTTTTAGTTCTAAAATCTGCAAAAGAATAAGTTTAATATTCATTAGTGTTTTTTTCCTACAAGTTTAAGTTTAATTTAAAATTATAATATTTTATGTAGCAAGTGTTATGATTGGATAGAATTTGAACTTCATCTGAAATATACTAGATTTTATGGGACATAGATTAATAAAATATTAGCATTTAATGGGACCTAAGGGATGGATGATCTAGCCCAGTTTCCTTAATTTATAGTGGGGGAAACTGATACTTGGAATGGTTAAGTGATAAGTTCAGTGTCAATGTTTTTATTAATTTAATTCTGTTTGTCCCAATGGTCATTACTCACTTAATATCTTGGAATAATATTCCCCGGGCATTTAATCATCTAAAATTTGCAAGGTCCAATGGTAAAGCTCTTTATCCCTTGGAAAACTTGGCAGGAGACAGGGGCTGTCACAGTGTTATACAGTATAGACCAGGGGTTCTTATCCAGAAGAGTACAGCTGTTTAGCTAGGTCAGTCTTTTTTTATATTCCTAGAGATATTCTTATATTCCACAACATCAGTGATACTATTAACGATTGTTCCTGTTGCCCTTATTATCACTGATAATAATACTGTTATTAGACCAAACTCTACTCCTCTCCAGGTGACTGAGCTGGGCAAATATCTCTACCTTTTGCATCAGATTCTTTCCAACATGAAAGATCTGGAAATACTACCTACAACATTCCTTTCTTCTTTAAAAATTCCAGCACCTGTTGAGCCCTTCTCAGCAAATTTTCAAAGCATGTGTGTGACTTCTTACTATGTCATTGTATTATTTTTTTCCATCATTAGGGAGGGAAAGCACGGGTTTTCACTGATATTTTACTGAAGGGGAAGTGACATTAGGTGTTTGGTGGTCACTTAGAGACAAAGGCATCCCCATTCCTTGTTGGGATCTGACTTGGTAGGTTTTGGCATGAGTTTGGAATCTTTTGAGAGCAGGGTTTGAAGTGTTCAATGAAATGGAGCCCTGAAGGAGGCCAGGCTGGGTATGGAGCCTATGGATGTTGCAGGTGAAATCAGACTGCTTCTTCTTTAGAGGTTTAGACATGCTCATCTTCAGCAGACTCATATTGAAAACAGTCAGTAATCAATCTGAAGGCATATGGAATTATTTATGGCCTGGGGCCCTTTGCTAGATACTCAGTAAGTATTTGTTGACTAAGTTAACAGAGGGTTAGCAGTCAACTTGGAGGACTTATCATACACAGCTGATAAATCACATGGCATCGGTCAATTTTCTCTCTTCCTGTGATACTAGAACTTCTTGTTTCATATTGAAAGAGCAGTCATTTCTTTTAAATATTTTTTTCAAAGCCCATTTTACAGCTCTCTCCAATTCATTTTCCTGACATTTGTTTTCCAGGTATCATCAGCTTTAGTTAGTATTGATTATTTTTGAGCAGTGTTGCTGTTTGTGGGCTGTTTGGTTGTGAATTTAGTACAATATTATTTGCAAATAATCACACAACCAAATGGTCTTGATTCCGAATTTTATTGGTTATAATTTGCATATAGGCAATGTTGTAAAATCACTCCCTTATTCATTTATTTTTTTAAGATTTTATTTATTTATTTGAGAGAGAGGAAGAGAGAGAAAGCACAAGCAGGGGGAGGGGCAGAGGGAGAAGCAGGCTCCCCGCTGAGCAGGGAACCCCATGCAGGGTTCAATCTCAGGACCCTGGGATCACGACCTGAGCCGAAGGCAGACGCTTAACCAACTGAGCCATCCAGGTGCACCTCACTTATTCATTTAAGTATTAAAAAAAAAAATTCCGGGACGCTTAATTCTGGGGAACCTTAAGCTATAGTTCCTAACATTTCCATATGGGATATAGTAGATACATAGTGCACAAACATCAATTTTTTTGTTTTCTAATGCCTATGGCTTATATTCATATACAACATTGATAAAAGCATTTCTTCAAATATAAAAATCATTAGTTAGAAATTTATCCAAAGTCACTGAGAAGTAAGGTATGTGAGCTATTACTATTCATACCCTATGTATGTTCCATTGTTTAGAGCCATTGATTTGCACACAAGTGCGCAGTACATATCACCTATAGGTAACAATAGCATAATGCTTATGGGAAGAAACGTTTTTTAAAAAATTAAAGCCTTAGTCTTATCATCTGTGAAGTGGGTGTGATAATAGTACTCATTTCATGAGAATATGGTAAAGATTAACAGATAGAATGCATTTAGACTGAACTATTTGAAATTACTACTCAGTAGATCAAAAAAGGCCAGATATTGGGGCACCTGGGTGGCTCAGTTGTTGAGCATCTGCCTTTGGCTCAGGTCATGGTCCCAGGGTCCTGGGATCAAGCCCTGCATCCAGCTCCCTGCTCCGCAGGAAGCCTGCTTCTCCCTCTCCCACTCCCCCTGCTTGTGTTCCCTCCCTCTCTGTGTCTCTCTCTGTCAAATAAATAAATAAAATCTTTTTTAAAAAGGCCAGATATTAGCAATTTCATAGAGTTCAACTTAATTATGAAGTAGTTAGCATAAGCCCTGACACCTAGTAAGCACCTAATAAGCACCTAGTAAAAAGTAGCCATTATTTGTAACATCATCATGTCTCTGAAGGAGCAAGCAGGGTGGCATAACATACTCATTTTCAGATGAAGGAAAACATTAAAGTATTCTTCAAAGTCAGGCTAACATCAGGGGCCTGGGTTCTTTCTATTTGGTGACTAAACGCCAAGTCTGTGGAGAGAGACATGTATGCATGATGCAATGTGGCATGCTGAGCCAACCACTGTCCCTCTCGGGGTCACAGCTTCTTTTTCTCTTTTCTTATCTGTAAAATTATGTTCCTTGCAGTTTTAAAATTCTGTGGATTTATGACATCATATGAAAAATAATCCTACCTGCTCAGAAAAAAATTCTGTAATCCTGCACATAAAGTATGTTTTTTCTAACTTTAAATATCCATATGTCTAAACATCCATCCTGATGGAGCCTCTTATTTTAACACGGATTTGGTTCTGGTGTCTGGTAGTGAAATGTGCAAGCATCTTCAGTGGAGCCAGGAAGCACCTTCACCATGCTGCAGTGGGCCAGAAGGAAGCCTGCAGTTGGCAGGTCCTGGCTCACTGGCAGGCATACTTGCAGACACCACCCTGTGCCTGCCAGTTTCTTTGCCAAGTGGTCTGTGATGCCTGGCATTCTTTAGCAGAGGACAATGAGATCAGGGCCCCGTAGTGTCCTGGTGAAGGTTTAAAACTCTGTGCTGGTCGTTGTGGCGGAGAGTATCAGGGAGCCACAGTCCATAGTGTTTGCTGATTTCTCTGGTGTAAATACTCCCATCATGGCCCATTTCAAACTACTGTTGTGATATCTACTGGCTCCCAGAATTCCTCAAAATTTAACCATCAGCCCCATTGGGCCACAGCAAGCCAACTCCAACACACCACTGGGCAGCTTTATAAGCAAATGATGTCCAGAGAGGTGATCACCGGCTGGGCAACATGCCTCATTGCTCATGAGTGAGACCAGACCCTTTCCAGGGGTCAAAGAGAAATGGAGGGCCTTGGGTCCTTCCAGTAAGCATGGGATGGAAGGGGCAGCATAGATGGGGACAAGCATCACTGACTGGTGAGGCCAGTATAGCCAGCTAGAGCTGGATTCAAATTCCAGCTCTATCACTTTCTGGATGTGGATCTCAAGCAAGGTATTTAACCTCTCTAAGCCTCTGTTTGCTATTTGTAAAGTGAGGACCCTGATCCTACCTACCTCAGGCGATGTTGAGTATTTCATGAGAAAGGCATGTGAAAAGCTTGGCCCTACTGGTAGCACCTCAATCTTCGGAAGGACCCTCAGGAGAACTGCAAAGCTTTCCCTGTTTTAATGTCTCTGCACCTTCGGGATCAAGCTTGTGCTGCTCACAAGTGTGTGGGAGCCATTCCATGTATGTGGGGCAGGATAAACTGTCAAGGCCACGTGCTAGTCAGTGTTTGGTCAAGGGTCTCCACTCCGCACGGACTCTTCCCGTTAGCCTGCGGTCTGATCTAGCAGCAGAAACATCTCTTGGAACATGCATCCTTCTTAAATTAAAGATGGCAGATGGGGAGATGGTCCCCTTTCTTTGCTTTTCTTCTCTTTTCCTTGCACATCCGTCAAAGACATAGCTTCAGGTGTCAGGCACATCTGGGTCAAAGACCAGCTCCCCACTTATAAGCTATGCAGCTTTGCGTAGGTTGCTTAAGGCCATGTGACTCTATATAAAGCTATTTACATTTTTTGTAATGATTAAACATTCTGTCTTCATCTTGCTTCCTTTTAATGAGAGGGAGGTTATCATTATTCCAATAATAATAGTAACTAATATTTACTTAACACTTACTAGGTATCAGTCACTGTGCTAAATGTGGATTATTTTCATCTAATCCTTACTACCACCCTATAAATTAGGAAGTACTATTACCCTAATTTACAGAGCAGGTAGCAGAGGCAAAGAAAATTTCAATAACTTCTGTGTTGGAAGAATTTAAATAACTGCCATATATCTCTAAGGCCTACACCCCGCCCCCCCCTCCGATAAATGGTGCTTTTTACCATTAGCAGTAGCGACCCATGACCCATGGGGAGTTGTGGCCTTCCCCGGGTTATTGCAGAGTGTGCAATGCCTTCTTGCTCTGAAGTCCTCAGTGGAAAGGGCGGTCCTGAAAATCAGCAAGCCAGGGCATGGATCTTCTGCAGTGACACATGCTATGAGCTCTATCATTTCCACACATAGTCCAGGACAAATCTTTGTCTTCATTTCTCAGGGAGCCCCAC